GGTCTGCCATAACTCAAATTCGATAAGAAATCACTTTGTTCTGCATGTGAAACGAGAAAGATTACAAGATCTTCACATAAAGCAAAATCTGCTTCTTCTTGTAAATCTCCTCTCGAAATGATCCACATGGATCTGTATGGACCAATACGCACTCAATTGCTTTAAAAAGTATATCTTAGTGATGGTCGATGAGTATTCCAGATACACGTGGCTATCCAAACTAAATTGGTTGAAGAAACTGAATCAGAACTTGTTCAAGCTGAGGCACAGACTCAACCAGAGATTGTTCAATATGACATTGATCAATCTGAGTCTTCTGTACTTGCGGATGAAGCTGAATATTTTGAGATTCAAGCTAAAGAAGAATATGCTGATATTCAAGCTAAAGTGAATTTTGAGATTCAAGCAGTAACTGATGAATATGTTGATCAAAACAACTTAACCGATGTTCAACCCCTTCCTTGTACTCACAAGTGGACGAAAGATCACCCCTACTTAAATAATCGGTAATGTAAATGATAGAGTAAAAACACGATCTGCTACCGCTAACAAGTGTCTTTTCATGAACTTTCTTAGTTCTATAGAGCCAAAGAAGCCATTTGAAGCGTTGCAAGGTCCATATTGGATTAATGCTATGCAAGATGAACTTCGAGAATTCGAAACAAATCAAGTTTGGAGACTCGTACCAAGACCAAATGACAAATCAATCATTGGTACAAAATGGGTCTTCCGAAACAAGAAGGGTGAGATGGGAATTGTAGTGAGAAACAAAGCCCGATTGATTGCTAAAAGAAGGTATCGATTATGACGAGACCTTTGCTCCAGTTGCACGCATTGAAGCCATCAGAATATTTTTGGCATACGCTGCTCACAAAAATTTCAAAGTATACCAAATGGATGTCAAATTATCATTCTTCACAAAGAAGTCTACGTGAGTCAGCTTAAAGGTTTTGTTGATCCATATAAGCCGGATCATGTCTATGTCCTAGACAAAGCTTTATATGGTTTGAAACAAGCTCCTAGAGCATGGTATGTTACTCTAACTCAATTCCTACTGAAATCTGGTTTCAAGAAAGGTAAGGTAGATAATACGTTATTCCTTTAAAAGCAAGGTAATCACATGATCTTGATTCAAATATATGTTGACGCTGTTATTTTTGGTTCTACGAATCCAAAGTTTCGTAAGAACTTCTCAGACATCATGAAATCTAAATTTCAAATGAGTATGATGGGAGAGTTAATTTTTTTTTTCTTGTTCTTCAAATAAAACAACTACCCAATGACATATTCATTAACCAGTCTAAATGTGTTAAAGATAATTTGAAAAGATTTAATATGTCTGAATGTTCTTTTATAAAGACTCCAATGGCTACCGGTACTTTATTAGATGCAAATTTATCTGGAAAATTTGGTGATCAACAAAATACCTTGCCATGATTAGATCTTTATTGTACTTAACTTCAAGTAGACCGGATATAATGTTTGCAACATGTTTTTGTACGAGATATCAGGCTAATCCTAAAGAGTCACACCTTGTAGCGGTTAAAAGGATTCTTAGATACCTCAAAGGCACATAAAATACGGGCCTTTGGTATCCTATACAATATGGTTTTGAGCTGTTTGCATTTACTGATTCTGACCATACAGGTTGTGTGACATCCGTCAATTCTGGAGTTTCAGGTTAGCAGCTATCTAGGGTTTCTAAAATTAGAAAAATATTTTTCTAGGGCTTAGTCAAGTTGATTAGAGCTCAACTGGCTTAAACTCCTGACTTTTAGCCTAGAAAATCCTGTTTTAACAGATAACGGATAAAGTTAACTTATGTAATGCCAAATACACTAAAATTTCTTCAAACATGATAAAAGTTGATGATATAAAGTCCAAATTTAAAAATGTTAAAGTCCCATCTAAAAGTCATACAAATTTGCAAAAATTAGTGAATTTGACCTAATACTCATTTTTTTATCACAATTTTAACATTTTTTTTTTCTTATCTAACATTTCAGTGAGCTTTGGTAATATATATATATATATATATATACTAGTGGTGTACCCGTGCGATGCAGCACGGGTGAATCACAATTCTGAAACATTAGTTTGACCTTTAATCATGAGTTTGTGTGATTATTTTGAGGACTTGTTGGGACTAAAGTATCTTGAGGAAGAGAAGCTACACTTATTTAAATATATATGTCTCATTCGGATCATTCATCTATTTTAGACAAATTTTACAGAACTGCAATAAAATCCCGTTTACAGTGTAAACAGCCCCAAACTGTTGTTTAGTTTTCATGATGCACTCATCTGTATATCCAAACTGATTGTTACTCTTGAAAACTAAAGAAATACCTTAATATGTGCTATCAGCTCATTAAATTTTTTGCATTTCCTATATCAGACCAAGGAAAATGGATTAATAAAAAAAAGAGGTTAAAAGAGTACTATTATAAAAAGCAGAATTTGGTGCATCCATATGACCATATTGTTGGTTTTTCATATACTTATTAAGGATCTAGTARGAGTGYTTGCCGGTAAAATTAGTTAGAGTGTTGATTCTTATTAACAARTRCTTACCGGGTAAAAAAGAAACTCCTAAAAACCTACGAATATATTGAAAAACCTCTACAAAACATCCTAATATAAAAACCCGCATTATGATGCTCCAGAGACTTGTTTCTAGAACATAAAGATTAATTCCTCATTATGGACTAATTGATACCCAGAAATGTAGAAGTCACTTCATACAACACACATCCACTTTTAGAGTATAAATGTACTCCTAGGACTAATCAAATTATGAAACAACTTCAAATGTAAACAAATGTAAATGAACATTAACGAACGTAAATGAACAAACATAAACAAATATAAACAATAGGTGATCTGTCGCTAAAAGCTACCTTATTTTCACATCAAGTATCCCTCTTTAGCACACTAAAATGGTAAAATAGAACAACATTGATGCGTTTTTATATCTCGATAGGTTCGGAACACTTTGGAGCGAAAAAAAGGACAAAGTGAAGATTTTTGACAGCTTTACGAGACTATGGTATTTCAAGCATATCTAACTCGTTAGAGCTCAGATTTAAGTTATTCAAGATGATCTGGAAAGCTAACAAACAACCTCACAACTTTTAAGTTTTGCGTTTCTGCAGATTTAGACTGCTTCTAAGACGAAACCGACGTCGAAGGCGGAAAAGAGCTGCTGGACAGCAGCCACGAAAGTCTTGATCTTACCTTAAGAAAAACTTTTGTGGCTTTGTCATTGCAAAGACAGCTGCAGTAAAAACAAGGGGAAAGGTCTTCTAAGTTGGTTTTATGTTGGAGTCAATTTGGGTGGAGAGTTGTGTTCTTCTGTTGTTTGCAAACCAAATGCTATTCTATTTTCTGTTAGCATATATAATAGCAGAGTACCTGCAAATCCACTAATCCATATACATTGGCTATCTGCAWTATRCAAATTTTTACTGCATCTGCAACAAATGCAACAAGTTCATACCTGCTAGCTGATGTTCATGATGTATATCCATATTCATATCAAGATACATTCATTAAGATACAATCCTTCCTAGTTCCAACACTTGCAAATCAATGTTTGTTTCTAAAATTTAGTAACAGGAATAAACAAGAAATCATGGAGAAGAAACTGTTAGGATTTCCCAGCAATGTTCTCTTGGTAATTTTGGACTCGAACAAATGGGAATATGTTGAGCTTTAAACGATACCGACAAGGAAGTGAGCGTTGAACGTTCTTTCATTCCCCTGCATACATCAAGGAGCAACATCTATAAGGTTCAAATGATCTTGCAAAAACATGTGCATGAAGAAAATCAAGCATCAAATGATCCATATTCCATATCACGCTTCATATTAGCTCCCAAGACAAAATCATACGTGATTAGCATCACATATCCACTATAAGCTTTTGAGAAATATTCACGATTTTAACAAATATACCACTATAACGGAAACATTTGACTATTATCTATTTGCAAAGTATGAAACACCATTAAGTGACGACAAATTAGAGGTAGTTTGTGCATTAAAATGGATGTTACCATGTTTTGAAATGATTACTAATGGACAAGGACAAAGACAAAGTTTGGAATAAAAACATGATCAAAAGGGATAATGTTGCATTATTTTAAAACATTTTCACATTATGATTATTAAAAGAAATTTCAATTCTAACAAATGAAATGATCATTTTMACAGTTCCCCCTTTTCAACTKCTATGCTGGTTAGTTRCTTCAAAGTGATATGATGGTAGTGGCTAACATGTACAAAGAGGCTAGCACATATTTGAAAACTTGAATCAGAGTTATATGTTTAACCACTAAAAGTTCATTTCCACCAAMTACTATGTAGAATCAGAGTTAACTGGATTATGGCAGCTGTTCATATTAAGTTACCAACCCAACTGAAAGCTTACGCTCATAGAGATGTCGGTCATGTTAAAGATTAAGAAACAACACTCACCGTTTTCCCTGAAGTAGAAACAACCACAGATGTGTGTCCCAAACATGTGGCCAGATGTGTGTGCAGTCCCAAAGATGTGTGTCCCAAACAGAATGCAGTCTTAATTACCAATACTATTGCTTGCTTAATATCTGCAAAGTTTTTAAGACTAAGGGGCCGTTTACCAAACCCTTATCCGGGTAAGGGCTTACCAAGTCACATTACCTTACCGGATGAATATGGAAGGACCAAAAATCTTACCCGGTAAGAGCGAAGGTAAGGACCGAGAGTCTTACCCGGTAAGTGAGAACGACGACTTTTACCATGGTTAGCTTTTACCGGATAAATTGTTGCATACGATTTTGTTTTGATCTTACACGGTAAGTAAGTGATAGTGTTGAATTTTACCCGTAAAATCTTACCCGGGTAAGCGGAACCGGAGTCTCTCTGTTCTTGGTAGCTACAAAATAATTTTGGCAAGGATTGTTACCCCGTAAAGGAAAGTTAGAATGGTGACTCTTGGTGGATTACTTACTCGGTAGGCGTTTGGTATACGACCCTAAGTCCATAATTTTTGCATCCGTTCTTTAACCACGAAATAATTTTTGCATCCCTAAGACCATATTATATAGATGCATCATAATAGTGAAAATAAACAATAAATGACAAGGAAATTTTGGTTAAAAATCACGCATAAGTAGATCAAGATAAAATTACGAAAAAGTAACTTTACAACAAACACATCATACAGGATACCTTATTATCGTCCAAGTCCTCCTATTATCCTGAAGATGGTAAGAATGAAGCTCACCTGAAATAATAAAAAAAATTCTATAATATGACATTATGCTCGCAACCTGTCAAGTTATGGTAAAAAATGTCACATTTAACTTGGCTATTCTCATCCAATTCCCTCTCCTTCTGATCCTTCCTCAACCCACATAAACTAAAGATTAGGATTAACAGTAATTCAAACAAAGTATAATCAAATTACTCAACCTCTTTTGTGAGTGATGTCTAAGCTGCAAATAAGAGCGGGTACTAAAAAAACCTAGCTTACAGTACCTGGTAGGAAAAATCCACTGCACCCTATTCATCATTATCCATTGATCAATATAAGAACAAAAAAGATTTATCTTGGCAAAGTAGCATCTGTTGAATACAAAACCAAAACTGAAATATGTAAGTAATATGGCAGAAATGGCCATGGATCCAAGCATACAAAAGCCACCAATTTATAATCAGTTTTATGTTTATAAGCAAATCACAAATAGTTTACATACATGCCTATCGGACAGAACTGTGGCTTTTCTTTCCAAGGAGAAAYAGATCGAGGAGAAGAACCTCCAGATATCCARATTAAATAACCAAGCAGGTGGTCGCCTAGGAATAGCCGGCTTGCATAGCGGGTTAAATATCCAGATTAATCAAAAAATGGAAAGAAAATGTTCTAGAAAATGAATAAAACAGG